TCACAGTAATTTACTTAACTGTTTTGTCACAATCTTAAAACTGTTCAAAGGTTTTGTTAAGTTAGCGAGATTTGTCCTTCCAAGGCTACCGTACCAAAACAGGAAATGTTTTAATACAAAGTGTAACCTGGAAAGCTAGCTCTGCGATGGTGTCAAGGTTTGTTCCATGTCGCGCATTTAATAAAAAAAAAAAAACAGCAGCAGAATAAATCTTGTTATTATAGTTTGTTTTGTGTCTTTGTAATTAGATGGTACAGAGTGTGTTCCGGTCTGGTTTTCTGGTGCGGGTCTGTCACACCGTGCTAACCTGGGTCATAACTCTGATTCTATTCCTGCACAACACCGGTAAGATCATTTCACTTGTCCCGGTTTAAAAGTTAAGGTTTATGAAAGCAAATTTTAAATTCAAATAATTAACTGTTTCCAGTAAAAAAAATATATTCATTTTTTATTGTTAATTAGATGTTGATTTATATTGGTACCTTAAGGGCTTTTTTTTTTTCTCTAAACAAGAAATAATGTTTCGGTCTCTTTGCAAATTTGATCACACTACTACAGTACAGTACAACGGATGAACTTAAGTTATAAACTAGAAAAAGAATCATGTTTTTGTCTCTTTGACCTGTTATTCACAGTCTGCAACTACCAGAAACTGAATGCTGAGATTGTGTTGAGGATGGAGCCCTAGAATAGAAAAGAAAAGAAATACACTTACTTTTCCAGAATGGGAAAATTCTGGCAAAAGCACCTGAAAACATCGAAATGATGCCCAAGAGTAGATAAATGTACCCTAAATGCACCAGGGAGCGTTATCACATATCCTTCCTCCCAGCAGCTGGAAGACTTTATAACCACCACTGTTCCTTATACCCTCAATAAATTGGTAAATTCATGCTGATTTTGCACAGTTTCCATCTTAGTCAGTTAATAACATGCTACTGTTATGTTGCACATCTCTAAAGTTGCTGCTATTTTCAAATATCCATTACTGTAAACATGTCCATAGCTGCATATTGGTTATTTATTCTCCAGGTGCCCAGTATTTATATTAAACATTTTACAGTACAGTGTTTTATTTTTTTTAACTCTTCGCTATTATGTTATCTTTATACATTTTTCTAAGGTCCACATTTGTGTGACCATTTTTTTCCCATATTTTTTTTGCTGCTGTAACACCAGAATTTCCCCATTGTGGCACAATAAAGGGATTTTCTATTCTATTCTATTCTATTCTATTATATTATATTATATTATATTATATTATATTATATTATATTATGAATACAAAGCTGATTCAAGTTTTAAGTTTAAACTTATCAGAAAGGTGGAAAAAGAATTGGAATTATTAAAGATAATAAGGCATATTTAAATAAAAAGTAAATTTCAAGTTAAATAATAAAAAATACAGAAATCTCTTCACAAAACATTGCAAAAAGCTAAAGAAATGAAACTACGTTATGTATTATTGTACAAAAAAAAACACACTCTCATAGAGGCTACAAGTGTGCAAGTGGACTAAATGAGACTTAATTAGACTTTATAACATTTGGAGCAAACAGTTTATGCCAGATAGTTGTATAAAACTGAGTCGTTAACATGTCGATAGAAAGAAATCATCATGGGAAGTTTAATACTCGTATCCAAATCCACCTAAATGAAAAGACAAGCTGTAAAGGAGGCTTTACAAGAACTTTCGTGTCTGAAATGCCGACTGATTTCAGGTGTGAACTCAGTGAGACTGAATGCTAGAACTATATCAAAAGAGGCTTCAGTAATAATATAGAGGCTGTCACATGGTTTTGTCTTTGCTTTTTATTCGGCTACTCTGTTTTCCACCTGACCTGCACATATGTCTGGTGATGCGTGACAGTTTATAAAGGATTTATCAAAGTCGGTTTTATGCATGGGAAAAAAACTTGTTTTTTAACAGCAGTTTTAACACTTAACAATCTGAATCAGCTTCAGACACCAAGCTTGTTCACAATAGACAAGGATTTGAACGGTTTTGCTTTTAATGCATACATTTTCAGAGTAGTAAGTAAGTGTATAAAATTTTAATTTTATTTTTGTGTATGTATGTAAACCATGTTTTTACAAAAATTAGAAGACTATTTTTTTATTGGTAAAAATATATATGATTTTGATGTATTTACTTTTACTGTTAGATGTTCATCAGATTGACAGAAACTGTCTCTGTAGCTGCTGGTCTTTAGTGAACAGAGCTCTAAAGCTTCAACATAAAGGTAAAACTGTAAACAGTTTATGAGCAGGATGTGTGGGGTCTGCAGAGATTGACTGTCTTTTCCAGACCCTAAACGTGTTTGTTTGGACAAGCAAGTTTGTTGTAGTTTGCACATGTCCTATTTTGTAGAGGAGCCAATCCGCGTAGCAATAGATGTGCATAGGAAAAGCAATGGCAGCCTGAGGATAAATGCGCTGCATATATGTACACTGGAGTTATCATAACCTGGTCAATACAAAGTCTATTACATGATCATGACCTCTAAGCAGAACCCTTAAATCAAAACTATGCAAGGTTAAACTATAACATCTCTCTACCTTTAAACAAACTGCTTTATTTCCGGGGTTCTGAATATTTCCTGTGTGCAGATTTACGGAGATGTGAGGAGCAAGGAGACCTGCTGCTGCCAGGTCTCTTCTTCCTCCTGGTTCTGCTGTCGGTGCTTTTATACTTCACCGTCTCCTTAATGGATCCGGGATTTGTTCTTGCTGACCCAGTAAAGGTGAGGATGAGTTAAAAGATAGAAATCTACAAAACAAGACTTCTATTAGACCTAACATGTTTAGTGAGGGGCAAGTTTTTCCTTTTAATCATAGAAAAGGAATCAGCAAGGATATAAGTAGTGTTAGCTGATGGAGGCACAGTTTATCAGGTGAAGGTTCACGGTGGGTGTGAGCGCTGGCCGCTGCTCTGACCCACATCTGTCTGTTTCTACGTAGGGAGGTCAAGGTTCAGATGAAGAAATGGAGTCGATGATCCCTCAGTCGTCGACCCCTCGACTGCGGCGCTGTGGGTACTGCCTGCTGCAGGTAACCAGCCTCCGCAGGCCTCCGTTCACCCAGCTCCTCTTAAAGCTTCCTGTCAAACTAATCCAATTTTCTCTAAAGTCTTGTTGGTTTATAGTTTTTCAGGCTTTGTTCTATAGAAACTGAACATTTAGAAGAACTTTACCTTTTTTGGTTTAACAGATTAGAAATAATAATTTTGTCCTTTTATTTGGGTGAATATGGAAAATCTGAAAGATGTTTGACAAACAGAAAGCAGAATATTGGCTCCAAACAGTGTGATTTTCAAGGAGAAAACAAGGCTGAAGTTTTTCAGGTTTATGGTCAGCTGGAGGAAGATGCATCTTTCAGGTCCTGTTTCAGGTCTTGGTTGACCTCTTTATATCTCACACTCATTCTTTACCCTCCGTCCATCCAATTATACCACGTTTGAACTGAATGATATGCTGCTTCCAGCTTAAATAAACACTCTCTACCTCAGAGGACGGCTCATGCTGCAGTGGGAATTATCACATTGAATAGAATGTCCTCTATTTATTAAACTGGATAGAATATTGTAGACCAGGGGGAACCAATTAAAAATCATTGGGGTCCGAATAAATAAAATCAATACCAGAAAAGGTCTGGGCACATTTTTAATTATAATCAGTTACTTTAAACAGAATTTAACACTGAAATAAAATGAAGTTTTTATGCATCCATGTTATACATTGACTTATTAAATAAAAACATATTTTAAAAAATTTAAAATTTGTTTTGCGTTTTGAAATCTAAAGTGTTTTTTTAAGTAGAGAACAAAAATCTTGCAGTTTGGTATATAGACAATTTCCTGATTCACATAATTTATAAAACACCTGAACTTACCGCTTGTCTTTTTTCTGGCTTAATGAGAGCAGTGGGCTTTATGCTGCCCTGCAAGGCTTTAAACCTGGGTTTGAATGGAGACAAAGCCATTCTAAAGCACATATCAGGTTGGGTCCGGATTAGCCAGCAGGTGGGTCCGCTAATCCGTGACATCTGATGTAGACAGTCTGTATGAACCAGTGGTCATCTATTATTCAACCTAAAGACCAGTAGATGTTCTTAAAAAGCAGACATTTCTTTATCATCCAGGATTAAAACTAAATGACATATTTTTTTTACTTGCAGTGTAGTTCTGGTCAGAACTTTGAGAGCCATTTTATATAATACTACTTTTATACTGACCCATTACCCTCAATTAACCTAATTTAAAACCTGGCCGGGACCGCACGGACCAATAAATGATAAAGTGCGACCCAACCCATGATCACAAAGTGTACACATAGCCGCTTCAGCCACGGCAGATGTTATCATCCCATTGAATGGCTGTTATTAGCGGTTATCAGTCCCATAGAATGGCTTCAGAATGCCTCCTACCTGCCAGTAGGCTGAGTAGGGTGTTATCACCCAATGAATCCTAACCCTAAGGTAATTCCTTTTTAATCACGGAATTAATCAATCTATTTATGTGTAATCTGAAAATATTTTTTATCAATTAATAGTTCTAATTAATTTATAGTTCTTCATGTATTGTAAAAAAAAAAAAAAAAAAAAAAAAAGTTTATCAGCTCATATCGAACAACCCCTCCCAAAAGAATCTCATATCCTGTCAGCTGAGTTGTTTTAAAACACCACATTAAATCGGTGTGACTGAAACATATGGAATTCACTCAAAGTAAAACTTTAAAACGCATAAAAAAAAAAAAAGAAGATAGGCTGTAAATAAAGTAGATAAAAAGTATAAAGTAGGTAAATAGAAAGTGAGACTTAAGGTTTTAGACGTGACCAAAACCATAATCAACGATAAGCTGCATTTTATCAGCCGTACGGAACTTGCTAGAAGGTAGAGGAGGTGCAGCTTGGAGCCTTTCTATGGGACTGATAACCACTAATAACGGCCATTTAATGGTTAATCACACAGGCAGAAAAGAACATTGAGTCACACTGACATCCACAGCTGTAAATTGGCCGAAGGAAGAATGTTTGCCTCGTTGCTTGAAATAATACTGTTATCTTAAGATTTAGAATTAATAAATAAGAAAATATAACTAAGTTTTATTAATGCTGTTAACTCTATGCTACCCACATTTTGTTCATATACACCCGTGCCTGTGAAATAATGTTTTTTTTCTACCCGTAGTGTATGTTTTATATGAGTACCTGCAAGATATCAGCGGGTACCTGACCCGGTGCAGCACTTTGGGTTTTGAACACTTTTCTATATTGCGTAAGGCTCCACTGAGCAATAGAGTGGCTATAATCTTGAAAGTGTAAAGAACATTATTGCAGCATAAAGTGCCCAAGAACCAGGGTTTCCCAGTAAGGTTTCAGACAGAGGGTGGGGTGGGGGACAAGAAAAGAATCAGCAGAAGAGTAGTTAAATAGTCATAAGGTTACTTTTATAGAGCCACAGAAACACTTTGAGGTGGCAGGTATACTTGTTTAAAAGAAAACAAGATGGATGCTCATCACGCAAGACTCCACTGCTGAAGAAAAAACACATCATATTGGAGGTTGACCAAAAACATGAAGACCAGTCTGTGAATTTGATATGAGACCAGGACTCAGTGTTTGAACATCAATGCTAAATGTCCAGTTCACATCATCCTGAAGATATCATCCCCATGCTAAGGTTAATGTGAAGATGGATGCAGCTAAGTCTGAGGCAATACAGGTAGAAACAGCTTTAGAGGCTGAAAAAATACAATATTTCAAAAGTTGTGTTACACAGAAGCTCTGCATCAAACTAAGTTTTAATCTCAAGATACTAAAAAGGTGGTAGAGATCAAACACCTGCAGCTGGATCTTGATCTGCAGTGAAACCTGCTTTTGCAGAGTGGCTGAATACAGATGCACTGCACACTTTCTAGATTTTTGTTGGTCCACATTTATCCACATGCACAACTTTCTTTCTTCATCACAGTTAGTAGTTCCTGGCATTGGACTCTTAATAAAACCAAACAGAGGTTCTAAGGTTTGTGATTGTAATGTGACAGAATGTGGAAAACTGCTGGGTTTTTCACCAGCAGTTGTGTTTTAGAATATAATTATTTGTAACTATCCTCATAAGTGACAAACAGTGTCTAAACTTTGAGGAAAAAAGTGATAAACTTGAGAAATTAAGAATTCCTCCTCCTGTTTGTGTCCTGAGCAGCAGCCAATGAGAGCCAAGCATTGTCAGACGTGCAAACGCTGCGTGCGACGCTTCGACCATCACTGCCCCTGGATCGAAAACTGCGTCGGGGAGAGGAACCACCGCTGGTTTGTGGTCTACCTGCTGGTGCAGCTGCTGGTCCTGCTGTGGGCTCTTCATATCGCTCTGTATGTCTACTCAAACCTGCGCTTCTTTAAGAGAAAACACCTTATCTGCGAGAGGGGAAAAAGCGTGGCCTCAGTTTGCCCTGTAGTCAGAAGACAGGGAAGATGCATCATGTGGTGCCAGCGCACTCTGCTCCTTTAAGCTTTATCTCTGTTGCGTCTCACTGAGTTAGGTAACCCATGCTGACCTTTAGAGGGAGCCGGTTGTGTAAGAGGGAGCTGTAATGAACATTCAGGTGATCCTTATGTCAGAGATCAAATGTGAAACCTTTTAGCTGAGCGATGGTGACCAGAATAGCCTCACTCACATCAGAATTCAATCACATTTTCATCCTTTTAAACTTTGATTTCTTCAGTCTGCTGCCTCTTATTTCTACTGTCAGGACAAAACAGAATAGTTGCATGATTAAAAAAATATATATATATATTTCTTATTTAAATACGCTTAATATGTAAGGAGAAAATTGTAGGATTTAAAAAGGCTAATTTGAAAAAAAAAAGAAGGTATTTTTAAAGGCATTAATTGGAGAATATGAGTGCAAGTAGGTCAGGAGTTGCATAAAGTGAGGGCTTATCATCTTTTATGAACTCTCCAAGCTGATTCTATTGAGAAGGGCTTGAATCTGTAGACATTATTCATATCTGCAGAAAGCGTTTAAATACTTTATCAGATCTTATTCAGATCAATGGGAAATCGGATCATGGAGCCAGAGACAAAGGAGATCTGATTGCAGCCTGAGATGATGAGTTTAGCTGCAGCTGGAGACAGAGAAAGCCCTAACTGATACTCCAGCTAAATGCATTATGCAAGAAAAGGTAAACAACTGAGGTTATTATGGAAATAAGGTTATCTGCAGCTGGGATGTTAGATCTATGAGCCTAGATCAGTTATTCTAAAATCAGCAAACTCCAAATTTAAGAACTATGAACACAAACATTTAGATAGGGGCCTTTAAATGATCTGTTACTCATGGCATTAAAAAAGTTATAGTTTTATAAAGCAGTGTTTGTTTTACTGTGTTGTACGTTTCAGCTCGGGGATTTCTCCTGGTGTCACCTGGGAGCTGTGGTTCAGAGCGAATGCGTTTCTTCTGGCGGCGCTTGCCGTGGTCGGGGTTTTCTCCGGCGTCGTGCTGCTGCTCCTGGGCTGCCACCTCTACCTGGTGTCCATCAACTGCACCACCTGGGAGTTCATGTCCCGACACAGAATCTCATACCTGAAGAACTGCGGGAAGGAGGAGAACCCGTTCGACCGAGGCGTTTTCTGCAACCTGTGGGACTTTTTCTGCATCTGCAGGACGGTGATGTGGGAGCAGGTCTATCATAAACCTCCCCCAAACCCTGCCTGAACTCCACCCATTACAACGATGGACATGCTGATTCTTTAAAGCAAAATCTTATTGTCATACATTTTGCTTCAAAGGAGACAAACCCACGTTTTTATTTAAATGGTTGTGAAATAGTGAGTGTTTTTAAAGCAGAAAGTTTAGAACCAAATACTGGATCAGTTTCTTGTTGTCTGTTATTGTTGTTTCTGAAAATTGCCAAAGAACAGAAGCAGAAGAACTATTGCATTTTTTTTTATAAAGTATGGAGTGAGGTTTGTTCCATTATGGTTGCAAACAAAATACATGAATTCTAAACAGAAAAATAATCCAAATATTAAAGTTTGAAGAACTTATTTAAAAGATTTTAAGAATAACTGCTGGTTTTTTTTTTTTTTTAGATTTTAATTTTTATAGATTTTATACAATTTTAAATTTCGTTTTTCTTTTTATTGAGTTTTAGAAATGTCATTCTTTTCCAATTTAAGTTTTCAGATTACATTCTCTTCGCTTAATGCCTGATGCAAACACTCGCTCTTGACTAATAAAAATGTTGTTTCCAACATCCATACAATCCAATAGAAATGAGTCTTTGCTCCTGATGCCAGAAGAAAATCAACCCCAATTAGTGGGAAAAAATTTGATCTGTGAAATTAAATTTTATGTAAAATTATAAAAATAAAAAGCAAAGCTAATTTTAAAACCCTTTTCTCAAAGTCTTTATTTTGGTTTTGCATTAATTTCAAATATACATTTGCAAAACGTGTTCTTGGCTTGCAACAATTATGGAAAAGAGTTTACTCCATACTTAAGGCTCATACATAAACAGAACTGTTTTTATTTTTGTCTGATCCCCATACATAAATAAAAAGGGCTCAGAGACTGATCACAGATCCAAACTGATTAAAGGTGTGAAGTTTAATGTAAACTTAAGACCTTTTCCTGTATTTACAGTTGATTTCAGCTCACGTCATCACCGCCGCACAGCGTTAGACTGCAGCCATCAACACGCACAAGCACACGCACAAAGACCTGTTTGTACGGGCGTGTTGACGTGTGAACACTCCGGACGCTGTTTACATATTTATTACTGATCATATGTTTGTGACAAACACACATAACATTTTTTTTAAATGGTTTTTGGTTCTGCATGTTGACAGCCTTTGTTTTTTGTTTTTTTTTTCCCTATTTGTAGGGAAAATTTGTCCTCAAAATTATAAAATATAAGCCAAAAGCCACTCAGCATAATCAGAAATCATTACTCAGGTTTTGTGATTACCCACTAACCCACTAACACTAACTGCCTCAATGTCTGTAACTGCCTGTATATACTGATGTCAGTAATGTATTTCTAACTGTTTAACATGTTTTGGTGAAATCCTGTGCAGAAAAACAAAAGAAGTCAAAAATGTTATTACTGTACTGATTTGTTTTTATTTATTAAGGACATTAAAACACTTTTTTAAATTCGATATGCATGATATGTTAGAGGCATCTGTGCACACTGACATTCCTACACGGGATGCTTCACATAGACATTTACATACATTTCTGACAAACAGATCTAACATGTAATACTCAGCAGCAGCGGCAGTTTAATAAAGTGCTACAACATTTTGCTAAATGTCCTACAGCTTCCTAGTTCAGCTGAACAAAATACCTTCTTTCCCACCTTTCAGATGAAAAAAAAACATGTTGAGGTCTCAGTTTACTTCCAGATGTCCTTTAAGGACATCTGGAAAGGTTATTCTTTGTTTATGGGGGCTACTTCTCACAGTTTCTACAACCTTGATATGATTTTAAGCAAGTGAAATTTAGAAGCACAAAACTTAAATGTAAAAAAAAATAATGTATTAAAGTTTCTTATGTTACTTTTAAGTTTTTTAAACAATGATTAGGAACACAATCCTTATGTATTCCTGATAGTTCAGTGCGCTTTGTTTCCGACACTGATCTCTTATTTTGGCTCGTCTTAACCGATCCTCGATATTTACTCCCATTGTTTATTGCTTTTCTCTCTCCACTGACACGATAGAAATAGACACGATAGACAAGTTTGCATTTAAAGAAAAAAGAAACAAAAAATAACTCATGCACATATCCTCTGATGCTAATATAAACAACAAAAAAATGAGAAAAATGGGCCAGCCTGTGTATCAGTCCATCTCTGCTGTGATGGTGTGATTTCCTTAGATATCAAGATCAGTGGGTTTTACCTCCATTCAATCAACCTTCTGCACTAATTAAGCATCACGTTGATGGAAAAATAACCTGTTGGGAGTTTTAAACATTTCTTTTTAGGAGTTTTTAAAATTTATTTGAGGTTTTTAATGTTAGGGACGATAGATGGTGTCAACCCTGACGCCACAGGTGTGAAGGACAATGAAGGGTGAAATAATTAGAGCTTTTGTGTCAGAGAAAAATGAATTATTCATAATTTTACATTCATCATGAAAATGTAAAAACGAGCTAGTGTTAGATTATTGTTCTCTAACAATCTTTGATATATGGACTATATTCATTCTTATGTGTTTACATGTTACACCCAAAGGGAAACCAGATCAATCTGTTATGTTTTTTTTCCAATTTCAGTTACCATCCTGTTGTGTTTACTGAATATAGTGGCTCTAAGTTAAGTAAAATTAATTTTCACCTGACAGTAAAATGAGTTGTTTAAATCTTTTTAAGTTACTAAAACCTAAAAAGGAATATTATGTGTATTGTGTTTTAAAAAAATCATAAACTCATAATTCTCCCTCAAACATATACCCTTTAGCACCCCACATCTTATTGTTTTTGCCCTAATATTACCAACCCAAGCTCAGTAGGCCAATATTCCCCATGCAACAATGATAAGCAGACACTTAACTATGATCATGGCTATAGGCCTAGTAGATTATCTATGGCTTCTTTTATACTGCTAGGATCTCTAGTGCACAATTTAAGTCCTCTATAAGCAAAAATGACTGACATCCTGGAAGAGACTGATATGTTACCACAAGTCTTTGCTACAAGCAAGCGACTTGAAGACATGAACGTCGGGTTAAACTGTTCGTTTTGTCAAGGCAGTGAGCAAAGCCTTTCACAGTGATGCATAGAAACAGCAGAACAGAGGTTTTCCTAAAAGTTGTGTTATTATACGCGAATTAATAATAAGCAAAGGCCACAAAGCAAGCTATATCTGTTTTGAACACACAGGAGGCTTAAAGGCCTTGATTGGCTAGTTTGGTCTAAATAAAGTTGACTTATTTATTTACATTAGACATATAAATGGATACAGAGTAAATTTGTTGAAACTATGTAAAAGTTTGACAAACAAAATGTAGTTTTATCTCCTTAATCTATGTTAAATATTCTGTAGATCTAACAAGGGATTTATGGGAGTCTAAACAAGAATACTTACAGCTTGAACACTAAAATAAATATAGATTTATTTTTACCAGGCTATAATATTTTAAGAAATATACATTATAAATTTAACTTCTGGTTAGGTTGATTCTGGAGCGGTTATGAAGCATCAGTATCTTACAGTGAGAGTCTAGCTGACTGCTAGTCGGGCTAACACAGCGGTCTGCAACCTCAGCAGCCACAGGTGGCTCTTTATAACTTTGAAAAATAATAATAATCATAAAAAAAATTTATCTGTCTGAAATTTTTCTATGTTTTGAAGTAGTTTTCAAGTTAAAAACGATGTGCTTTTATTACGTAATGTCAACCCTAACCCCCAAAAAGACAATCTGTACTTTGAAACAGTAATTAGAAACAAGATGGTGGTTCTTTACAAATTTCCGGTGGTAAATCTTTTTCTTAAGTCATGTATTATGTTAAGCTATGAACAAGTTGTATTTTAGATGGACTGAAAACATCTAAAATAGCTACTTACAATCAATTTAACCGGTAGTCATTCATAGTCAAGGTACCAAGTACTTAAACCTGATATTCTGGTACATTTTCGAAGTTGTTGATGTAAGTGTCCTGGCTGTATATGTATAAATTGTATAAATAAATTTTTTTTTTTATCAGTTTGGTTTTTTACTTTCAAGGAGCCTGGTGTTTTTTAAACCTTTCTTTTTGAGTTCTTAAGGGTTTTAAAAATGAACTAAGTGTGTATTTAAAGGTGTTGTCATCGAGCCTAAAACCAACTGATTCATTTGTCAGATTCTCCAAGTTCTTGTTTAGAAATACAATTTTAAAAAGTAGGAAAAGAAATGGTATCCTCTATGTCTGCAAATAAATGTTATGCTACTGATCTGTTTTGGACTTTTTCCTTTAGTGGTTAAATGCTCATTGCAGAATGAAGATGTCAAACAAATCTTTAGTTCAATCTGTGTTTGATCTCAAAAGTTATTTCAAACTTATTTTGGTTTTATTAAATGAGAAATAAAAACAAAAAAAGGTTTACAAAAAAGCAATAAAAACAACACTGTAAAAAATTGAAATCTAAATAAATCATGTTTTTCTTGCAATAAGTGCATTTTTTCTTGAACTGAGGAGGTAAGTGAGACACTTTGCCAATGGAACTAGACAATTTATATTTAAAATAAGAAAAAACAACTGCCTTGTCCTTTTTCAAATGCATATTATCTGATTATCTTATTTTAAGAGTAAAAATACTAATTCCATTGGCAAATTATCTTATTTACCTACTCATATTAATGGTAAATGTGCTTAATTTAAGACATTTTTGCTAGTCCTCTATTTGTAGATCATTTTTGCAGTCAATTATCCTCATTGCACCAAAACATAGAACTTTCAGTTGGGAAAAAAAAAAAAAATTAAGATATGCAATAAAATATGAGACCGTTAAGTAGATTTACCATAGTGGCAGGACTATTGTCACATAAGGCCAGTTTAAAAAGACAGGATTTAAAAATATCCATTGACTGAATGCTCCGTAACTTAACACAAGGTGGACATCTCAAGAATTAAACAATGTCGTTTACAGAAAATAGCAGCAATAACGTGACAAAGAGATGGGAAAGTTGTTGTCTTTTTGATTCTAGGATTAAAAGTCAGATGAAAGTCTAACCCCCCCATCCCTCCCACCCCCACAGACGATCATGTCTACCATCACGTCCTCAGCTCCGTTAAAAATAACCCATTGTTTACCTAATTGACAGCTTCTTGTTGATTGCAGCATGACTGAGAACAGTCAGCGTTATTTTATTGAGAGCTTTGTCCTGTCTGTAAATGTTTGAGCTGCAGAAGACACCAAAGAAGTCTTTCATTCAAAGATACAGTCAAGACCGGGTCAGGAGATTATCTTTAACTGTCGGATCTAAAATGATTTAAAGATTAAAGTCCTGCTTGTCTAAACGGATCAATACCACTTTCTGCTACACTATGCTTATTGTGTTTTTATTTCAAACAGCTGTTCTGCTTTTATAATCAGTCACTGAGGTCT